GTTTATCGCGTGCGAATATATACGTCTGGAGCAGTTAGACCACTTATAGTTTTACATTATGTTGTGTTAAATTACGATTTACGATAAATTTTACGATTTTATTTTGAATAAAATACAGTATATGTACTAAATAGAAACTGAAAGAAACATGAACAATCTTGGTACTATTACCAGTACCTCTTTCCATAAAAATATTTGTCACAATCGGTATAAGCTCGCCCGCAAAAATTCGCCTTACCAATTGCAATAACCGAGTCACTATGCGCACGGTTGCGAATATATACGGTTTGAGCAGCCTGATCCAATTTAACTATTCATGCGAATTTATCCGTCTGGAGCAGTTTGAGCCCTATAAATTTTTAGCGAATATATACGTCTGGAGCAGTGAAAGGGTTAAATTATGTACATTTTTTTTAAACTCTGCATAGGTAGTTTTTCATTCAAGTAATTCTTGAAGGAAGTTATATTTTTATAATTAAAAAGTTCTAGAAGCTATATTCAGTTATTTTAAAGTTATTCGTTTATTATCAAACAGCTTTTTTTTACCAGTGCGTCATATTCGTTACATTTTGCGCCTGTTTTGAAAAATTTTAGCAAAAGGATGTTTTTCTGGGATCACTTGTGTTACGAAAAAATCGAAGGTGACCTGATTCCCCTTCCCCCTTCTAACTGCTTATATCATTTGATACTGTATTATTTACGAGCGAGTGTACGAGCGAATGACTAGTGGTAGCGTATGCACCTGTAAATAGTTAGGTTTAATTAGTTTAAGATAATAAAGGTACAGAAAGCGACGATTGAAGATCGTTACGAGAGGAGATCCCGACCGCCTAGAGGAGTAAAATAACCATTAAATCAATTGATGTGTTCTTGGAATCTTGCAAGGACACATTCACTACCTTTGTCCTGTTCCGAATTAAGCTGTAAGTCTGTGTTCCCGATCTCAAAAACACATCAACTGATCCAACAGATCCTTTGGATCGATTAAATTTTATTTGTGGCTGGTAAATCTGCAAATTTTCGTCTGGAAATGCGGAAGTTTGTGGATTTATCAGATTTTAGTCCTTAATCCAGCCAAGCAGCCTACGAGTCCACTTTATCTGCAAGTCTCGGGACCCTTGAAGTACCAAGTCAGTTGTTTTTTTTTTTGTTTAGCCTTAACCAAATTTTGTTTGTTATTTAACAGTACAAACAACCAAACAAAGATATGAAATTTTGAAGCAACGAAATATTAAATAATTTTTAATTTTTTGACGTTAAACTCAACCTACAAGTATGATTTGAATTTTGCGAAACTTTTTAGAAAAATTTACTTATTTTTTATCTTAATTGCGTAATTATTTTCTAAAGTTAATAATAAATAGTACAGCTTGTATAAACCAGCTATTTCAGATGAGTCGAAGTTGTGGTACTGGAAACAGTTCGATCAAATTCATAAATCAAAAAATGAATTAATTTTGAGACATTTTTTGTAAATTCTAGGCTTTATTGTGAAAAATCGTGTACATTATTATTTTTCAAAGTATTGTCCATCCCTAGCCACTATTTTTTCCCATCTTCCTGGCAGCATACGGATTTCACGTCAAAAGAACAACTCATCTTTTGATGCAGTCCACCATCGATTTAATTTTTCGTATCTTCGCAAAATTGGAAGCACTACTTAGCCGGGCCGTGTTCCACGGATCA